TTGGCTTTTGGCATTTTTTTTTTTTTTTGATCGGCAAAAGAAGTCTTTATTGATGAATTAAACAAGAATTACATCAATAAAGAGGAGCTTGAAGCTAAAACAAGCTCCAACCTCCAAGTTGGTGAGAAACCAACGAGCAAAACCAACAGAACAAAAAACCAGAAAATCAGCTAAGGGAAATTGCATTCCAAAGCAGCCCAAGATCGATAAGCAAACACCTGGTGGAAAATAGAGGAACAGAACTCCAACTAAGGGGAATTTCAGTCCAAAGCAACCCCGAACTCCTAAGGCAAACATCTGAGCTTGAGGCTCCAATCCACACTGTCACAGGTGAGAAACATGACCAATCCCCACACAAGCCATCACAAACGTTGAAAATAATGTTGAAAATCATGAACACCTAATACTCTTGAAATCCCAAGAGTATTACAATTCTATTAAGTATCATGAACACCTAATCATCCCAATCATCCCAAGAGTATCCCAAGAGTAGCTGAATAGATTATGTAAAAATTGTAATGAACACCTAATACTCTTGAAAATCACCCATTACAATTCTAAAATTTTAACACACTGAAAATTCATCAACAAAAGAACCAAAAACAAAACAATTAATGATAATAGGCAAAACTCATGAAGCCGTAACCTGATAAATACCTGATATTGCCAAATCTTCTCGTACTCAGCTCCAACAAAGATTGTAGAAAGAAAAATAAATCAATTGAATTGAATTGGGTCTTCTAAAATTTCAGCTTCAATTCTTCTATTTTTGCCTAAAATTGCAACACACACTGAAAATTCATCAACAAAAGAACCAAAAACAAAACAATTAATGATAATAGGCAAAACTCATGAAGCCGTAACCTGATAAATACCTGATATTGCCAAATCTTCTCGTACTCAGCTCCAACAAAGATTGTAGAAAGAAAAATAAATCAATTGAATTGAATTGGGTCTTCTAAAATTTCAGCTTCAATTCTTCTATTTTTGCCTAAAATTGCAACACACACTGAAAATTCATCAACAAAAGAACCAAAAACAAAACAATTAATTATAATAGACAAAACCCATGAAGCCGTACCTAGAAAACCAATCGCTACCTCTTCGTCTCCAAGGGCTTCAACGGCGATCTCGCCATCTTTGGATCCAAGAAAACAATCTCCGCCAGCCGATCTCTACGTGAATGATTCGCTCCATCAGATTCGAGTTTGTTCTCTATCAGATTCGAGTTTGTTCTCCGATTTCCTTCACCACGTTGTGCCGGGACGATTGGAGACACTATCTCCTCAGAAGAAGGTGGTTATTCGATCGGTTCTCCGAATCTAATGGATTTCGGTTCGATTTCCTTCGCCACGTTGTGCCGGGACGATTGGAGACACTATCTCCTCAGAAGAAGGTGGTTATTCGATCGGCGAACGGCGTCGTAATTGTCAACGGCATTGCGATTCACAGTTCAGAGGTTGTGCTCGCTGTTTCACACACCATAGATGAACTAACATTCTTCAGCCAAGGGTCCAATTTCGAAGGGGAGAGAGAGATAAAAAGGGAATAGGGAGACGTGAGAGCAGAGAGGGAGAGAGAGACAGAGAGGGAAGGTAGGGAGACGTGGGTTGGTGGAAAGCTCAGGAGAAATGTTTGGGCGGGACTATAATTGATCTGAACCGTTAATATAAATGTAAGATTCATCTTAGCCGTTGAAACGAAATGTACCTCTGATACATTTTACACATTTTCAAAAACCTTTCTATCTTATTATATAGATTTCTCTACAATTTTCTTAAAGCTTTCTCAAGAATTCATCCAAGCTTTCTTAAGAATCCACTAAATCTTCCTTAGGCATAGTTTGGGAAGTTGGTGTTGGTGGGTTAGGGGCTAAAATAGCCACAAAAAACAAAATATGCTATTTTAGCCACAAAAAACAAAATATCAAATCCAACCTATAATCATTACACTCCTCTCTAAAAAAAAAGTCAAAAAAAGCCAAAAAGTCAAAAAGTCCTTCCCAAACCAAGCTTTTTAGTCCCAGGTTAAAATAGCCAAAAAATCAAAAAATCAAAAAACCAACCCACTTCCCAAACGGAGGCTTAGAAATCCTTCAAGGCTTTCTTAACAATTTATCAAAACTTCCTCAAGAATCCATCCAAGCTTCCTTAATAATCCATCAAAACTTATTCAACAATCCAACAAAGCTTCTTCTACAATTCACCGAAACTTCATCAATAATCTATGAAAGCTTTTTCAAAAATCTTTAATCAAAGTATATACAGCACGCTTTGATTTTCTAAAATCTTTATTCAAAGTGTATACAACACGCTTTGATTTTCTAAGAGGTCCAAATATAATTTATTTAAATTAAATTGTACTGAAGTGTAGAATTTAATTCTCACTTAAATATTAACACTTTAAAAATACAAGATTTCATAATTTACAGGTTATATCAATATGAAATTACATTTCAAACTTGCAATTCATAGTGAAATCGCATTTTGAACTTGTGTTTCTAAAACAGCCAATTAAGAGTTGTTTGCAAAGTGTTAAATTAGTATATTTTTTTATTTTTACGAAAAAACGTGAAATATAGATTGGATTTGAAGTGATGTAATACAGAGCTGATGTGACTTAAATAAAATAATTGTGACCTAAATAGGATAATGTGCTAAAATAACATGTATTATTTTAGTACATGCCAAATAATCACTTACGGTTGGTTTGGGGTGTCCTAAAAAAGTGTACTTTTTGTCTTTTTACGAAAAGATGTGCAGAAAAGTAGAGAGGTGATGTGATGGAAAAAAGATAAAAAGATAAAAAAATAGATTATATAGTAGATGCCAAACCAACCCTTTAGGTTGAACAGTGAGTTACTTGGATAACTAGTTTAGGGGTGATTTGATCTAAATAAGTATATTTTTTGACTTTTTATAAAATATGGGTTGGGTATGGGTTAGGTTTGAAGTGATGTGATAGAGAGGTGATGTGACTTAAATAAGATGATGTGATTTAAATAAGAGAGTCACTTTTTAACTTTTTAATTTTTTGACTTTTTTAAGTTATGACAAATAAGGCCTTAGGCTCAGTTTGGTGGAGCTTCCAAACTTTAGTTTTACCCTTTGTTTTCAATGTGGTGTTTGTTTACAGCTTTCAAAAATTAATTACATACTCACTTTCGAAAACTCTAACCAATGCGCGAAAATTTGGGCTAACCAGACGTCCCACCGGTCGTCCGGCCAGTTGATTGGAACAGTGCATTTTTTTTTTTTTTTTTTTGCAATTGACCCACGTTAATTTTTATATATTCAATAAAAAATATTTTCTGAATTTTTTAAATTTTTTTTATGAGTTTTGAATAGAATTTTGAGTTGTGTGTTTAGTTATAAGTTGTAAATTTTTGTATCAAATATCATATGTCACATCAAAAATTTCTCACTCAATTCAAAACTCTTTTCAAAACTCATTCACCAAACAAATTTTTCACACTCAAATCATAATTTCAAAACTCACAAATTCAAAATACAACTCTATTCTCAAATCATATTTAGAGGTTGTTTGAGGTGTCCTAAATAAGTGCATTTTTTTGTCTTTTTAGACTAAAAAATTGAGGAAAAAAAATATGAATGTTTAGGTTAACTTTTTGATTTTTTATGAAAAAATGTGTATTACAAAATTATATAAATTAGTTTATAAGGGAAAATTAGGATTGAGAGTTGTGCAACCATAATTTTTGACTTTTGGTGAATAGTGATAACTTTTTAACTTTTTAATTAACTTTTTGGCTTTTTAATTTTTTGACAACTTGCCAAACTTAGCTTTAGAAAACTCTACCAAACGCAACCTTAATTTTTTTTGAAAATAAAAAAAAAAGAAAAAAGAAAAAGAAAAAAGAAAAAAGAAAAATTAAAGGGGAATATGTCATTTTAAAAACCTGATGTGTGATTCAAGGAGGTTGTATTGGTGATTGAAGGAGGTTGTATTTGATTTCTTTCGTACCCGTCAACCGTACACAGAACAGAACAGTAGGCCCTTCGCTTTCTCACACTCCGATCCCTCAATTGGAAGTCCTTCGTTTTGGTGGAACCCTAGAGACTTCTTCTACTTGCAAATGCACTCTGTTTATCTGCTGTAATTTTTTTTCTACTTTCTTACATTAATAATCTGTTTTAATTTTATTTCCCTTTCATCTTTCCTGTTTGGTTTCCGAGAATCTTTGAGAGAAGAAAATATAATCTCAACTTGGACTTTCATCTTGTGCTGTCTAGTTAAACGTAAGATTTTCTATTTAGCAAATTTCTCAAAATTACACACTACTCAGTCCTACCCTATTTTGTGAACGACCAGAAAGTTTGATTTTTTCTTCTTAAACATTAAATTTTTGTTTCTGTTTTCTTTTCTTTTTCTATGAACCCAAACAAAGAAATTTGGGTCTCCGAGTGTATTTATTTTTGTCTATATTTCTTTATTTCCCCTCATCTTATGCCAACCGGTACTTTTTTTTCTTCTGAATTTCCTACTTGTGTAACGGTTTGTTTAAATGTTTGAAATTAGGGTTTTTGGCTTCCGAGACAGAGAGTTGAATGATGCAGTTAGATGAGAAATCAGTGAAGGTTGATTTGGGAATGGAATTGAAGGAAGTGAAAGGTCAAGAAATTGTAAATGGTGAGGTTGGTTTAGAGAGAGGATCAGAAGGCTGTAGAAATAAATGCAAAGAATTGGAAGAGAGGAGTAGCATGGCTGAAGAGAGGTGTGTGTTGTTGGAATTGCTGATTGAGAAGAAGAAGAGTGAGTTTGAATTGCTCGAGGGTAAGCTTGGTGCATTGGAAGTCGAAAGGGCCGGGATTGAAGATGAGGTTAAGCTTTTGAAGAGAAGAAATGTTGAACTTGAAAAGCAAATCACTCAGATTGAAAATGAAAACAAGGCTGATATAGGCAAAGGGACAGGAAAGGTTGTAGATTTAACAGAGGAGAAAGATGAGGAAGATAAGGTCATTCAGTTGATGATTGAAAACAAGGTTTTGGAGTGTGAGAAGAAAAGAGCCGAAAGTGAGGTTGAGGTTTGGAAGTTGAAGTATAAAAAATTGGAGTGGCGAGTGTCAGCACTGGAGAAGGATATTTTGGACTTCAAAGGAGGGCAAAGTCCATTGGCTGGAATGATGAAATCCCGATCGGAAATGCATAAAAAGCAGACAAGTAAAGAAGGCGAATTAAAAGATGGATTGGATGTAGCAAATAGCTCAGAACATTTGGAAGCAGAAACCGCAATTGTGGATAACAATGAAACCATAAAAGCTGCAACTGGTATGAGCTCAACTTGTTGTTCCCCTTGTAAGAAATTAAAGATCTGCAAGTGGCAGGTATTAGAGAAACTACTATCTGATTTTAGTCGCGCTTTTAGGATAGCAACTCTTGCCATTTAACTTTTCTTTCAAGTTTATAAAGGCGTGGGAGGTTAAAGCTCAAATCTTTCAAAGCAATTATTTATTTAAAATTTGATGTTACTTCAACTGATGTCTTTTATGCATGCAGGGTAATCTTCTTAAAAACTTGTTTTGATCATTTGTCATGTAAATGCTTATCAATCTGAAATCTGGGACCATCCAAACATTTTTTTCCCTGCATGGCAGACTTAATTGTTTTGAATAATGGGTTTCTGTATACAAGGAAATCAACTGTTAGGCTTACTGATACTTTATTGGGAGTTGTTTTGTGAATTTTCCCAGTCTAGGAGAATTATATAGCTTTTGAATTTTCTATTTTCTGATTGTATACTTCCCCCATTTTTTGCAAACAATGAACAAAGATATCAAGCACAGTTATAAAACTACACTTTTTTGTTTGGTGACTATATGTATTCTATTCTATGGTATAAAACTTTTAGAGGCACTAAGCCATTACCTAATATCAAGTTATGGTAGGTTTAAGTTATTCACATTACATTACCCCAAAAAAAAAAAAAAAAGTTGAAAAAAATCCCTTACTCAACAAGTATAGCTAGTCTAGGACAGACTTACTTTCCTTTTCTCATATTTTTTTCGTCTAATAGGTTCACCTTCGATTGATATGCCAAGTAAGCTGACCACACAAATTGAGGGAAGCAAAACAGGTTTCCTTTCTGAACCTGAAATGGACCATGGCAGCCAAGTGAGAAAACGATTGGCATTCAGTGAAGAAAGCAGTCTCAGCAAGAAGATGGCTCCTTCGACGCCAGGTAGTGCAAGAGCTTCATTTGGCATCATTGATATCAGTGACAGTGAAGATGAACTAGCTAATACAAATGTTAATATGCCTCATTTTGATAGTCAAGTAAATAGAACAGTTCCTGTTTCAACTGATCTTTCATCATGGAATGCTATGGGTAATGAAAACAAGAAGACTTCTGATGATAATTTAAAGAGGACTCTCGCAGACCAGACTGATGAGGAGGATATGGATGGTTATAAGGGGAATTTCCTTTTCATTTCAACTCCCAAAAGGAAAAGAGCTTCTAATATTGTCACTTCCGACAGTGAGAGTGATGATGATAATGTTCCAATTTGTAAGCTCAAGACTAAACATCTACAGGAATTAAATCAGGATAAAATGGATTCTTATTCGAATGGTTGTTCAGTGACTGCAACTGTTTCTGAGGAGAAGGTTGGAGAGACCGCAACTCCTAGACGGCGGCTAGTGGCATTGAGAAATCGCGATGTGAAAAATGCACCTGAACAAAATTCTCCTAGTAATTCTAATGACAATGGAGCTAATTCTCATTCCAGAATCCACACAAATGAGGGTGTTGAAAATGAAGAAATGGAGGAGGATGGGTCAGAGTCAGACACTGAGGGTGAAAGCTTGGGTGGATTCATCGTAAGTAGCTCTGATGTTTCTGGCAGTGATGATGGTTCTAGTGCATCAGATGATGTATCATATGACAATGTGGACTTTGGTGAAGTTCTATCTAGAATTCGAAGGAACAGAGACTCCAAACTAAAGTGGGAGTTTGAGGCAGATATGCTTGCGGCATTTGGTAAGGATCTTGAACTGTGCATGAAGGCTGTGTGTGCTCTTTATCGGCAGCAGACGTCTGAGGAAAGGTGTAGCAGGGGAACAATATATTCCAACCAACGAGGGTTTAGCCAATGTGATGCATTCAGGTATGGATCTTGAAAGCTTAATTATCACGAACATCTATATTCTTAGACGTGTATTATGTATAGACAATAATTGTTTATATATTTTTATTGACACAAAGATGCACCTCTTGTAGAGTGAGGTGAATTATTTGTTGATGTTGTCAATTGTTGGGCCACTTGGTTTGTGAGGACTAATCATGGTTATATATTTGTGCACATACTTGTTTTGGTACTTGTATCTATCCTTTGTCTTACATTGCATTCATCCCAGAGGAAAATCTGAATTTGCTTGCAGCATTTCGTAGCATGTTGTATCACGTATGTGATAAGTACTATTCACCTACGGTTGTTGTTAACATCCTACTTGTTGGATGATTACAAATAAACCCCATTTCAGCTGCATCGTCTATTCAATTTTCTCTCTCAAGTTTTACTGGTATGCCATTCGATCCCATCATCCCAGGTTCCTCCGGCAATTGGAACAATAGTCTAATATTTGTCATTTTGAATTCTGAATGTGCTTTTGATGTTTTTGTTATGGTTAAATGGGTTCTGTGGGCTTAGTAAATTATTTTGTAATTGAAAGTTCAGTCACTGTGTTATAGGGGCACTACTTTGGCCGAGTTTCTTACTGATGGAGACCCACAAGGTGATCTGAAGAAATCTGTGGAGGAGTTGCAAGATTTTGATCCCAAGGGCCCTGAACTGTGCAGAACACTGGCAACTCACTACTCGAAGCAGTTGTTTGCAATCTACAAGAACAATGAGGATCCCCTTTTTCTCTAATCTTGACTTGGCCTGCCCTTGATGCTACTACTGCAAATATGTTGGAATTTCAAATTTTATGCATTTTAGGTTTTTTTTTTTCCCCCCCATGGTTTGCAAGGAATTTAGTCATTGCCTTTCCTAGTTTTGCAGTTATATATATGATCATAGTAATGACATAAATATTTGTATGTATTTATCTTTGTTGTTGCTGTTGTTCTAGAGGGAGATGTAAACTGTGTCCCTAGTTTAGACCTGGACAGGAGACTTTTTTGTTCATAGTAAATGGTAAAAAATTAAAGGCATCAGATGTGTTGTTATTTTTATTTATTTTTGTTTCCGAAATGTGAAAGGCAACATGTTTGTGATGCTTATTAGCTTTTTAGAAGATCGAATGGTTGTAGTGACTAGCTCAGAACATTTGGGAACAGAAAACAAAATGTTTGGTAACAATGAAGCCATACAAAGTATGGGAAATTCTATAAGATGTGTGCCATATGCTTTCAATTATGACGTTTGTGGTATTTGGTTATGACTTATTGTGGTGTAAGTTATAATTCATTGTGATGTTAGTTATGACTTATTATTTTTATTATTTTGGTTATGATCAAAAATGTTTTTGGTTATACTTTATGTGGTATTTGGTTATAACTAATTATGTTTTTATTAGTTATGACTAAAAGTAATTTTGTTACGACATTTGTAGTAATGAACACCACAAATGGTATACACCCTTTGGAGGTTGTGTATTGTAAAATGACCCGTAAGTGAATAGGTGTGCTGCACAGGCTTATAGTCCACGGAAACGGGATTGAAGCTCAGTTCATGATGTTGCAAATTATATGGTGTCTTTGGTTGATGTTAACCATACCTGTATTGTTTGGGTTTGGCACACGGTGCTATTGTTTAAGCCGAAGGTTATATCTCATCTTGTCATAATTAATCTTAATCTAGCTTTAACATATGTTGAGAGGCAACTCAAGCTTATTTGGGGTTGGTGGTGAAAAATTTAATTTGAGCCCTCTATAATTTTGTACACTACAATTTTCGTTATTTTGATTGGGACCCAAGTGAGTTCGTAATTTATCTACTCTTTAAAGCACCACTGTTGTCTGTTCTTTCATGTAAGATATAATTTGAAGTCCTGGCCTCTGCTATGCTCTGCTTCATAGGATTTAAACCCACTTTTTGGTCTAATTGAGAGCCTGCTATTATGTTGGGCTGTAATTAGACACAAAGCAACTCTCGAAGTCTTAAGCAATGGTTATACATGGTAGACAAGTTTTCTAGAAAATTGCAAAAGAAAAAAATTTATTTGGTGACCTTACATAAATACTCTCACAGCCTTTGGAGGTTGATTTTGTATTTTTTTTTTTAAAATTTTAAAATATATAAATGTGTGATACACATTCTATCAGAGAATTGAGAGTTGTTTTGGAAATATGGTTAAAAATTGATTTTTTGATTTTTTGATCTTTTTTTTAAAAAATGTGTAAAAAATATGAGAGATGATGTGATTAAAAATGAATTAAGGGTTGGAAGATGGCTTTTAATCATCTTTCCAAAATAATCCTGAGTATTACATTTAAAATAATACTGATGTTGGCCTCAACTCTTTCCTTCGTTCGTATAATACTAGGGATTTCAACAATTTTTTTGGTCTCACATATGTTACAAAATTCAATTGTAATAAATTAATTCAAAATGATAACATTATTTCAATTTATAACCTCAATGATAAGAAGCTGAAATTATTTCTACACATTGAATTGACAAAAATATTCATAAATCTCAAATGTTAAACTTCAAAAATAAAGTCCAAGGAATGAATTTTATATTTCAGTGTAGCATAAGCAAATAATCTAAAAAGATTTGCTATAATGTAACTCCAAATAGAAAATTTTATAATTTGATCCATGTTAAAATGACACATGTATAACAAACATTCATTAAAAAAATATTACTGAATTAGTATCATAATTGGTAACCGTTTCACCTTATCAGATTTCAATATCTTTTTTGAGTGGATGCATGAATATTTTGATACAAAAGAGTAATCATCCTAGCAAGTCAAAAATAAAACATTAATCACCCAATTTAAAATGAGAGCCAACTAATGACACACACAGAGTGTATTAACATCTCATATGTTCTTAAACTCATTGTCAAATAAAATCACATAACAAAAAGATCTCTACTGAATCACAAAAAATAGAAACCTCGTGTCTCTGAACAATTTGATTACATGTCTAACACTTATTTTCTATATTTAAGCAAGCAATGCAAAAAATAAATGAAAAAAAATAAAATAAATAACACTTGAAATTTGAACTTAATGACAAAATAGTGCCGCATTAGATAACATTTACGCAACAATTCCTTCTTTTTCAAATAAAATGTTGGAGGGGAGTCAACAACTCTGACATGCCATCAAAATGTTTTACAAAATTGACCCAACTTGAGAGATTGTAGGTTGCAACACTTGGTCTCTAATCTTACCCTTCTAGCGAATGATCGTGCCTAAAAGTCCTTGCATACATTTTGATTTCTTCCAAAACCAACTATCCTTCCAATAACATATAAAAAAATTCAATGATTTAATAATTCTATATATTTCAATATTTTAATATGAAGTTTATAACTATAGCGTCTCTGGTTTAAACCCAACCCGTTTGGTGTTTTGAATTCGGGTTTCATTGTCTTATATGATTGTTCATGTCTTGTTTCTCTTTATTTCCAATTAAGTTTGGTTATTTGAGCGTCTTGGTTGCGTTTGAAACAGGTTGGTGACTTGCTTTTCAAAACTGTTGTTGCCCAGATTTTTGTCTCTACACTCTAGCAGTATTTAAAAACTCTCAGTACTTTTATAGGCCTGCAAAACTATTGGGAGGGTGCATTCTTCGCTCGAGCGGTGGTCTTCTATCTGCAAAACTTCTAGGAGTTTGTATTCTACGCTCGAGCAGTCTGCGCGTATATTAGTTCATAAAAGTCACTTTTTGGATCACCTTTTCATTTCTCTCTCTCTCTCTCTCTAAACATTTTAAAAACCCTAGATCTAAACTTTTTCTCTCTAAAACTCACATTCTATCTACAAATACACCCTGATCTAGTGGTTTATCAACCTTTGCCCTTTGGGAAAAAGGGTAGAGCTTGTGTAAGGCTTCCTTTTAATCTGAACGGATCGTGTTTTCGTCGCCAGTGGATTTTCGCCTTTTTCTTTTCTTCACTTCAAGAGGTAGGGATTCTTGAGCTTATTTTCAATACTTTGCTATAAATAGACTTGTGGCAGTTTTTATGGCATTTAAAAATATAAAGTTTTATAGTTAATTTTGCTAAAAGCATATGGGTTGGTTTGGGTTTAAATTGGTGGGTTTATGGATTATGTTTACAATTTATCATGGGTTACGAAAGCATGTTTAGGAGATGGGTTTGGAAGGTTTGGTATTTCATTTGAAAATTTTGGAATATTAAAGAAAAAGATTAATGTTGAATAAAAATTGGGTTATGTTGTGGTTATTTACAAATTTGGAGTTTTGGATTAATATTGGTGGATGTTGGCTCTTGTTGTGTTTGTTGGTATTTGGAGTAGGGAGGTTCTGTTTTCAAAATAAAGTGGAACTAATTATCTTTTTATAAAACATGAGAGTTTGCAATGAACGGGAATATGGAATTACCTAAGGGTGCATTTATTGTTTTAATTATGTAAAGGATGTCTAGAGTTTTGTCCTTGGCCATTGGTGGAGGATGGTATTGCGTGTTGTCAGATATAGGTTAAGAGTCCGACTGTAGGGTGAGCTATGTAATGTAGGATGGTATGTTGTTGATTGTGAATGGACATTGTGAACAGACAATTTCATTATTGAGTTATGGATTATGTTGTTAAAGAGATAATTAGAATGCTTATAAATGTTGTTATGTTATGAGACGATCATTAGATAGTATGATTTTTGGTGTTTAGTAATTCATATTGTGTTTTGGAAACATTTTAAAAATGTAAGAAAACCCGTTGCTGAACGGCGGTGCATGGAGCACATTGTGAAGGAAGCAGGTTAATGCATTTAACTGTTAATAGTCGGGATTGTAATAATTGGATTAGGTGTATGCATTACACCTATGTATTATTGATGCTAGTTAGCTTGTTATGCTTTTAATGTGATGTTATTTGGGGGTTTGTTTCCTGCCTTATTGAGCCTGCAAAGCGTGGCACCTCGCCAGAGGTTTCCTCATCCCTTCCGGTTTGTTCTCAGTAAAGTGTGAAAGGGGGTCCGTTTCCTGCTGTATTTGAGCCAGCAAAGCATGGCGCCTTGCGATAGGTTCTTCATTCCCTTCCAATTTGCGCCTAGTAAAGTATGACCTGAGGGGCACCCCCTTCCAGGTGAGGCCGGTAAAGTGTTATGTGTTATATGTGTTGTGAAATCTGCCATCCGTGCTATATGCCGATGGAGATGAAATTGATCGTATGTATTATTCTCGATTATTTATTTTTAGCTATATGCGTTATTGGTTTTTGTGTTGTGGTTGTCTTTTAGTCCTTAGGCCTATGGCTAGAGAAGGCAGTAGATGTATTGATGCGTTGATGCGTATGGTGAATTGAGATGCAAGGTTGAGCTTATGATTTGCATGTGGGGTTATATTTTCAAAACAAATGTTTAAGTGGGATTCCTTTATGTTAACGTGGAAAGTTTTATTAAAGAAAGAATGCGGTTTTGAAATTTTTTCTTTTGGAAGAAAAATGAGAATGTAAAAGAGAATAAATGATTTTTATACTGTAATGTGCCAAGAGGAGGTTTTTGAGAAAAACATATTTATATGAGTATACTTTTGGATATTAACTGTCATACTACTTATATGGTATATTGTGGTGCATGAATGATCATTTTTATCTATATGTTGTGATTGGTTAGGATCTTTGGGATATCTACTGGGTTTAGTGCTCATCCCACGTGTTGACAATTTTCAGGTACAAGGTTGGAAGATCGTTTGGGACCTGATGACCTTTTTCTTTGTTGGCCACGAGGCCTTTTATTTGTTAGTCGAGAGCCTTGTATTATATAAGGGAAAACCCCTTCCGTTTTTATTCGTTGTTATTCAATGTAAGCCTAAGGACATTATACCATGTCTTATATGTATATTATCATCATTGTCGTGAGAGAATGTTACTATTTATTCTGGTTCATATAGCGATTCCAGTTTTAACTCGACCCTTTTGTATGTTGGACTCAAGTTTCGTGGTTTTGTTGTGCTGTTCATGTCTTTGTCCCCTCATTCTTCCTTGAGCTTGGCAATTGGATTGTAATGGTTGCGTTTGGAACAGGTTGGTTGCTTGGTTTTCAAACTTTTGTTGCTCAGAATTTTACTCCTCTGCTCGAGCTGCACTTCTTGCGCTTG